TGTTTTTTTTTCATCATTTATTCAATGAGTTAAAAGTTATTAAACATGATTGGTTTCGATTGAGCTGTTTTCATATCTTTTTTAGTTGCAGACATTATTATGGCTGTTCTCTTCTGGTTTCCATTTCTGTTTAGTAAAATATAAACTAACTTCACTTCTTTAGTTCTTAAATATCTTAGAAGTAAAACTTTTAAAGCATTTTTAGGTAATTCTGTTAATTTTGCTGTATATTTCCTCTGGTTTTCTCTTGTTTTGTGGTCTTCTTTTTTTATTATTACTTGTATCAGTTTATTGTTATTAACTGGTATAGCTCATAGAGTACCTTTTTCATTTGTTTTTTGTACCTGCACTACAACTAAAGCTTTGTATTTAGATTTTTTAACTTTTACTATATGGACTTTTTTTAATTTTTTGCTAATATTTTCTAGCTCTTTTTTTGTTTATATTTGTTAGTAGATCCTATATTGTTAGATAAATCATGTTTTTATAATTTTCATCTGCTTTACTTTGATCTTTATATACCTTTGTCTTGTTTTTTTCTTATTTCTGCTTCTTTTTTTATTCTTGGCAAGTTACTTCTTTTTTGTTGCTTTTTTTTATCATATCTTTTATATTTTTCTTTTTTGTCTTTATTTTTTTTTTCTAATATCATTTTGTATTAGTCATTTTTTTCCTGCTAATTCTTTGTATTGTTTTATTTCTGCTATATTCACAATCAAAGTTTATTTTTATCTATAATTTTCCTTTTTTAAAAACTTTTTTGATGTCTTTGATATGTTTATTGTCTTTATTTGTTTCTCTTGACATATTGTATACTAGTATATTGGCAAGTAAACTGTTATATTAGTTGTATTTTTTTTTGCTTAATGCCTACATGCTCTTCTCTAGTAGTTCTTCTACTATGTTGATTTTTTTTTGATTTTTTGATTTATTTTGTATTGCTCTTCCATTTCTTCTATTGTTATGTTGTGTTTTGGTTCTTTCCTATTTGTATTTGCACTTTTTTGCCTGTACTCTTTAATTTCTTTCTAATTTTATGAGACTTGATTTGTTTTTGTTTCACTATTACTATTACTAGAACTTATCTTTGCAATTTCTTCTTACTGGACTGCTATACTTGTTTCTTGTATCTTTTTCTTGTATTATCTGCCTTTTTTATATTTATTTTTGTTATTAGTTTTTGTTCAATCACTTAAATTACTTCTATTTTTATTGTTTAATATTGCTCTTTTGATTTGTTATATATTTGTTCTAAAATAGGTTATATTAATATTGCATAGTTACTTTGCTCTACTATACTTAATTTCTTGACTGACTGCTTTTCCTCTGCTCTTTCTATTAACTCTCTTGTTAATCTTAGTAGTGCAACCTTATTTGAAATCTGCTCTGTTAGCATAATAACAATTTTGTCTTTTCTATTAGGTGTTATATATGTTTTATCTGTTTGTTTAAGAAACACCTTCCATTGTGTATACTGTTAATAGCCCAATATGCTCTTTTGATATATATTGTTATTAAACTATCACTACACCTTTTTAATGTATTCATATTTCTACTTCAAGTTGTGTTTGTGCATGTTTTGCTTGATTTGTATATAACTAGTTTGCTTGTTTGTTTATAATTTGTAATCAAAACAGATCTGTAATACAAAATTAGTGCCAATTTTCTAAAATTTTTGTTTTTTAAGTGTTTTCTTTAAAAATTTTGGTTTTTCTTGCTTTTTTCTTGTTAATCAACTTATTTTTCAACTGCTTTTCCTTTTTCTATACTTTTTCTAAATGGTTTTCTTTTTTATTTAGACCTGTCAGATAGTTTAGATAGCTGTTTTTGTGTAAACATAGTTTTTGCTTCTTGCCAAATTTGTATTTAAGTGATCAGTAAGAAGAGTGTTCTGTATTAAATTTATTAAAATTTGATAATTTTTAAATATATTAAATAGTAATAATATTAAATATATATATATTTAATATTAATATTAATCTGTTTAATATAAATAATTAGGTTAATAATAATTAGATCCAATATACAGAATGGATTATAGTATTCTGTATAGCTATAAAAGCCAAACATACAATGAATAATTTTACAAAAAATAATGTATCTTTTTTAAACTTTATTTTTTTTTATTATTTATCTTATTATTTGTTTGATTATATATATTGTTTCTTTTAATTTTAATAGTTGTACAATTTGATTTCTTATAAATGTATTTAAAAAGGCATTTTATAGCAGTAATTGATGAACAAATTTTTACATTAATGTAACAGTTATATTTAAATATAAGTAAGAATTATAGTGTACAACCTAATAATTATCTAATTAAAACCCTTTTACTTTTAAAGTACTATTATTATTTCTATATTTTATACAAAATAACTATGTTCATTTTCTATAGTACTTTCCTGAAAGCTTTGTGAATATTTCTTAAAGCATTTTTCATTCTTCATACATTAGGCATTTGGCATAAATAAACTATATGGTCTATAAATCATCACCTATTGAACAATATTAAACAAATCAGAATCATTACCTTTATTAAAAAACTTAGTGGATATAATTGCATTATAGTTAGTAACAGTTTGAAACTTGTAAGAATAATTGAATATAAAAATGAGATAGGACATGTTTTTAAAATTCTATTATATAAACATAGTCTCTACTAATTTAAAAATGTTGTCTTTAAGAATATTATTTAAAAGTGCTTTTAGTTTTATATTTAAAACTCAACTAATTAGATTAGAATAATCAGATAGTGTTTTTCTAAAAGAAGTACTTTTTTAATCTTAGCCAATTTGGATTGCAAGTTGCTATGTTAAACAGGTCAGATCTTCTAGATATTCTTATAATTGCTATAGCAACTTGGTATAGCTTATGCATTTGGCAAGGCTCACCTATAAAACTTAAAGGTAATATAATTTATTGTTCTACATTCATTGAATTATCTTCTATATACATAGTATTTTGAATTTTATTATATAATTCTGTATATAATTGTTTTTGGTTATGTCTTAGATAGTTAAGATGTATTTGTTTTATTATTGAACACATATTTATGATCCATTGTTAAAAAAGCTACTCATATTAATACAAAGTTAATGCTTCATTAGAATAACTAATTTAAAGCTGATATAAAAAATAGTTCATTATTGTAATATATTTATTAAGTTCATTTTCTTAATTTTTATTATTAGGTTTTAATATATTATTATTTTAGTTATTTGCATAATTATAATATATAGAAATATTAGAATGCTACCTATCTTAAGAGTGTGGCAACTTAGTAAAATAGATAATTCATCAACTATCTAAGTAATAGATAGTGAGTTCAAAACTTATTGATAGTAGAAATTTAAATAATCTTCTATATAATATATAGGCAGTATTATAGCAACAGCACTCTGTTAATCAGTTAAAATAAGATATCTGTAACTATGGTTGTACCAGTATAACTGGCAGGTTATGGGGCATTTGTGCAAAATTAAAGTTATACAGAAAAATGCAAACTAGCATTAGGCAGTGCAAACTAAAAATAAGTCCTTGTAGTCATATAAATTTGTAGAACTAGAAAGCCAGTACTTACTTGAAAAGACCTGAATAGAGAGATAGCACAGATCTTTGACAGTACCACTATAAAGGCTAGACCTAAAAGTAAATACTGATGTGAAAGAAATCAAACAGGCAAGAATCTTGAGTAAGGAGTACCACCAATTGAACTACAAGAAGTTATGAACTAAAAGAAAAGGATCTTAGAAAGCAAATTCTTGAAATACTAGAGACAGGTCATAATCCTTCTGAGCTATCTGAATTGGAAGTCTAAAGTCTAAAGCAGGATATAGCTAAGTACTAAGAATATGCTATGAAGTTGGTACTAGAATCTGAGTGAACTTTACAAAAGCAAGCCTTGTTAACAAATATTAAATATGAGTATTTAGTTAGCAGAGGGGCCTTTTGAAGCTCTACAATCAGGTAATATACTCTAAAATGTGTAATGGCTTGACATACATACATACAGAAGATCAGGTTTAGGTTAGACAGCGCTTTAGTATATAGAAGCTTGTGTGCTATCTGCTAATATAATATAGAGGTTACCTTATAAAAGTTATATAATTTAATTAAATTTATAATAAAGACAGCAGTTACTAATAATCAATAACCTTAGTGAAAGCAAAAAATAAAAAATAAAAAAAGAATACCACCTATTTTCACTTCTAGAAATCTAAGAATATAATGAAAACGTTCATATGCAGGATGTAATTCTGATATTTTTTGGTTTTTATTATTTAAATATAGTACAATATTATGGTTTAATAGTTTTGTTTTTTGTTTATTTTCTATTATAATAACAACAACTTCAAATGCACTTGAAGTATTATAATAATAAGAGTCTTTAGTTCTATTATTTATAATTACTAATTTTAAGTCTAATAATTTAGAAAGTATCCAACTTAATGAAAAAAATTAGTATATAGATTAATATTATGCAACTATTAGCAAGTTGTACTAATTACAACCTTATATTTGCTAAATAGTGCTATTTAATAAGTATTTAAATTTAGTATTTTTAAAGTATTTAAAATAATAATTACTTATTAAGTATTAAATTTTATATTTATTAAATACTTAATTTTTAAAGATTTTATAAGTATTTAAAATTAATATTTATAATTACAATTCTAATATACCTTATATTTAATAAGTAATTGCTAAATATTTTTATACTATTTAATAAGTATTTAGTAAGCATTTTGACAAACTTTATAATAACATTTGATAAAGATTGACAAAAATTATAGAATTAAAACCAAGCATTATATTTATTCTATTTTGTAACTTATAATTTGTATCATAAATATATATTTGAATAAATTAAGGCTGAGTTTTAGAATTAAGAAAAAAAGTGCCTATTCTGTAATACAATTCTTTATAAATACAAAAGGTATAAATACCACTAGTTCCTGTAATCTGATTATCAATATTGGCTTCTATAAACATGAAAGATAATGCAGAATTATATATTTAAATATTGTGTTAAAAATGAATATGCATATGGATCAGTTCTAGTTAGAAGGTTATTAAGAGAAAGTGGTAAATTCTGGAAAGGTAAAAGAGTAACTTTTTCTTTTGCACAGTATGTAGAAAAAATAAACATTCTTTTTAATTAATTTACTGTTCATTTAACTATATAAGAGCTCTACAGTAATAGCATTTTTGATTTATTCTAACTAGCATATAACAGCCTAGACTGTGTAAACTCCATAGATATATACATGCTTTTTTTTTTTTATAATGCCAATTATAGTACTTATTTAATTAATACCAGATTAATACATTAGAGTTATTACATTTCATTTGTGCTACTATATTACTATATAGAAACCCAACATGACATTATATTGACACTTTTCTAAATTAAGACTAGTACTATAGTGTTTCAACTATTGTTACTAATTAAGGTAAAGTTGTAGCCACTTAGTAATATTATATTTCCTAATTCTATTTGATCATAGTCTCTTTATTTACTTTCTGCAATAATTCATCTTTTCTTCTAAATTGGTTGACTCTGGTAGTTTTTTGCTCTTCTTGCTACCAATTTGATATACACAGCCCTTCATATATTTGTACTGATTAGTACAGCTAAATTTATCAAGATTCTGGATTATCATCTGCAGCTACCATGTACTCTTTTTATGTACTCTCATAGTTGTTGTACTATTTTATTTCTAATTTGGTATTGCAAGAGGGCCTGGAATCTTGACTTATTATGTACAAGTATAGTAACCATCAACAATATTGTGATGTACAACTATTGTCTTGCTTCTTAGGGGTTTATAGTATCTGTCTAAGATATTCCAATTTTGGTTAGACCAATTCTTTATTACAGATTTTCTTTGCATGAACCACATTACTCACCACTCCAGTTTTACTACATTAGTATTACTCTTTTAATCAAATACTCTGCAAGTTGGGTACAGAGATGTTGGTGCTGCCTTGTCTTAATAGAACTTATCTGCACAACATTTTTAGTAGTAGAATTTTCTGTACTGCTGCTGTTACATGTAGTGCCTTCTCTTTGCAAAGTTGACCTCCTTCTGAAAATTCCTAATTCATCTTTGTACTTTACCTTAAGACTTACCACAAGGCTTTGCATCTGATTTGGTTTTTATATTAGGTTACAGAGTTAAAATTATAAAATTTTGCCTTTAGGCTAACTCAAATCATTAACCTTATCTGTAGTAAGCTGGCAGCTTAATAATTAAGCTATAGAGCCCAACCCTATAGATATATGTTTTTAAAATCTGCAATAAGATATTAATTGATAAAACAGCTATATCAGATTCTGTATTAGAACCAAGTGCTAAATTGTTATTATTATCAAATTTTTTTTTGTTAATGAAATTTTTGTTGTCACTTATATTGTAATCTTTTTTAACAATCTTTTTTTTTTTTATAGTTAAAGTCTTTATCTTAGGGATGCAATGTTTTTATTCAAGTATATTAGAACACAGCATGCCACCAGAGGCTCATCTTACATTAAAGGTTACAACTAGCCACATGTGCACTTTTGGTGCCTAATTTAAGTAGTCTGTTTACATATTGCTATATAAGTTTTATACTAGTTGCTATACTTGCAAGCCAACTAGGGGTCTTGTCTATTTAAACTCTTTATATATGCAGTTCTTCTTGTATTATAAAAACATCTCAAGGCTACACTCATCCAAGTTTTTAATACTTTTCTAACAATTTTTAAGAGTTTTACTATATATATTTATATATTAAGATTATTAAGGTTAAGTATATACTATTGAATTTTTTTTAAAATTAAATGCACTTAAAAAATATAATACATTATTAATGCATAATCTCTTTATAACATTTTAATTTTGAATACATATTGATAATGCAAAAAGATTATCTAATTAGAATTTACTTCTTAAACTTTTATTAAAACATGTGTCTAGCCTAGTGGCATGTGCATTTTTATATGCATTTTCATGTGCATTTTCATATAAATAATTTTTATATATACTTATAATGCTAACAAAGCAATATGTACAGTATATTGCTAGAAAATTATTTAATTATTATTGTTATTACTATTGCTATATATAAGATTAATATAAAGTTCTATGTTTACAATTATATATATTTAATATATATGAATAAAACTTTATTTATTTACAAAACTTTTTTTTCTAATAATTAAAAATATATATACAAAAAGACTAATAAATGATTCTTATATCAGTTATACATTATAAACAAAAATTAAAATACAATCTCAAAGTATTGATAAATTAGTATTTAAAATTGCAAATCAATTTAAAAGTTTATAGAGTTTAGTTTTTAATATTATACATGTTTGTAAAGCTATAGTTTTATTAATTAAGATGTTACAATGTTTTCATCAAATGTACTTAGATTTATATCTGCTCATAATTTAATAAAATAGTATAAAAAAATCAAATTTTTTATTAGTTTAAATAATTATATAACTTATAGTCAAGGCCTTTCAAGTTAGGTGCAAGAAGAACTTTTTAAAAAAGCTGCAGATTGCTTTTGTGCTATGATTTTAGACCATAAAAGCTTGATTATAGTATTAGAAAAACTTGATATAACTTTAAAGATAACAAATAAATAGGTTTAATTCTATATAAATTTTTATATTACAAATATTAATATTAAAGATAAAGATATTACAATTGAAAGGGCTTAGTTTTTTTTAGTAAATTACAAAAAAATATAAATATTAAACAGGAATTATAGCAACAACTATTTGCCAATACAGATCATACTTTAAGATTATTAAACCAAATTACAGTTTGTGTTCTTCTATGTGAATCTATTCTATTAGTTGGTGAAACTGAAACTGGTAAAATGACTACAATTCAATATTTAGCAGAACTTATGCATCAAAATCTTATTATTGTTAATTTGTTATAGCACAATGATAACAATAATCTTCTTAAAGGGTTTAAGCCAATTGATGCAAAAGTTATAGCTACTTTCTTAAAAGAAAATTTAATAAGTTATTTAGTAAAACTTTTTCTGTGCCAAAGAATTTTTATTTTTTAAAAACTGTGCATAAAATAAATGTTATCAAGAAATATTCAAGATTAATATCTTTAATGCAAAAGGCAATTAAATTGTCTAAAAAAGTTTTAATAGAAAACAAAGTTAAGATGAACAAAAGAATTCATGAAAATTATTAAGTTCTAAGTTAAAAAATTAGTAGAAATTATTTAAAAATTCTGTTAAGAAATTTCAATATTAACTTAATCGAATATGTAACAAATTTTTTGGTGCTGTAAAATGACTAAAAATAAAAGATAGCTGTATGTATAGAAAAGTTGTAGCCTGTTCTGTATGTCTAAAGATACCAAACTATAGCTCTGATTACATTTATATAGAAGCTTATAGTAAAACAAATAGAACATATCAATATAAATACTGTATTAATTAAAGTTAAGATACTTAAATTGGAAGTGCCTTTGTGAATAAGCATAGGGCATCTGTGAAAATGCAGATTTACACAAGTATCTGTATAAATTAATGTATACAGAGGGATGCAAACTGGCTTTGGGCAGTGCAAACACAAGATAAAGCCTTATGTGTTCAAGTAGAAAGTGAACATCAGCCAATAGCTAAAAGAAAATAGAGTACTATTTCTAAAACATAGTTCCATCTATACTATAAAAGGTAGTACTTAAGAGGCAAGTTAGATACAATCTATTTGAATAATATTAAGACCAAGAAAAGTTGCAAACCAGCAGTGGCAGCAGATACCTGGCTTGAAATACATGCTACCAATACCTGAATTGGAAAGTTAGCAGTAGCAACAAGAATCTGGCTTAAGATATGTGCTAGAAAGGCACCCTTTGGGCAAACCAAAGATGAGAGCTCAAAAGAAACAAATAAACTAGTAAACCAATTTGGAAGTTGTAAAAAATAGGTTATAAAACATGAGAGAATATGCAGATTATCTAATATAATTGATAGTAAAACAAAAATTCAGGTTAGATGTGAGTGAGATACAATACAAAGCTCTGGTAGATTTAGGTCACAAATAAAGATATTTAAGTTTTATATCTGAATAGATATATAGTAATAGATGATATATAATAAAAATTGTACAAGCTATAACCAATATACTAATAAAGACTTGAGGGCATGACCTTATCTTAAAAAAAAAAATAACAAATTTGTTTTCAAATTTATTGATAATTCTTTAGCAAATGCAGTTACAAAAAGTGATTAGATTCTTCTAAATAAATTAATTTAGCATCAACAGAAACTTTAGAATGTTGGCATTCTTCAAGATCCTGAAAGTTCTTTGTTATTAATTAAAAAAAATGATTTTAAACTAATAATTTATTATTTAAATTTTAGAAATTTTGCTTGTATGAATTTTGCAACTGATATAGACAAGTAGTACCTTTTATCTAAACTATGTAGTAGGTTTTCAAATTTTATATTAATTCTTCACTTAGTAGATAAAATAATTTGTTATGCATGTATATAATCTTTTATAATATCCTAAAAGCTTCTATAATAATATTAATAAACAGCATAGTTAATTAATATTATTCTTATATTTATAATTTTTTAAAAGATTTTTATATTATATATATAATAAAAAAAACATAACCTAATTTTTTTTTTACTAACATTATTAATTATTATTTTAAGTTTAAATTAAGGCTTTATTAATGTAGTAATTGTTAATTACTTATTTCTTAATTTGTAAGCTTTTCTAGACAAATTTGTCTAAAAAATTGTTAAAAATATGCTTATGATCTATATTTTTTAACTTTTAAAATATTTAAATAAATTTTTATTTAATAATATTTAAAAATAAAGATTATATTATAGTAGTATTTAATTTTATATTATATGAAAAAAATTATATATTACTTATAAGCTAAAAATAGACAAATTTATAAAAAATTTTTAATCAAAAAATTATTTACAAATTTTTGACAAATTCTTTAAATATTAATTTTATATCTATAGTTCTTAATACAATGTTTTAGTTTATATAAAAGATACTAATTTTTATTAGTAACACATTTGCAATTTAGTTATAAAAATTTAGGTTTGTACAAAATGTAAAAATTTTTTTAGTTTCAAAAACATATAAAATTTTAAAAATTTTTGAAAAATTTTTAATAATAAAAATTTTTAAATATAATCTTTAAAATTTTAATACATAAAAGTTTATTAATATTTTA